ATGTGTTTGAAATTTGAGTCTATTATCAAGGTGGATTCCTAAGAATTTTTCCTCTGTGAGCTTTGTGATAGGTGATTTGTTTATCATTATGTTAAGAGGGACATCTGTAGCTCTGTTACCAAACTGAATGAAGTAGGTTTTGTCAATGTTGAGAGTAAGTTTGTTAATCATCCAGGTAGATATTTTCTGTAATTCGGTATTCACAGTACTGGCTAGCATGACTGGGCTTGGGTGAGAGAAGATGTATGTAGTGTCATCTGCAAATAGCGTGGGTTTGAGTAGCTGCGATGCATTTGGTAGGTCATTTATGTAAACGAGAGAGAGAAGAGGGCCAAGGATACTTCCCTGTGGGACACCAACTGTAACTGGCTGTGCAGAAGAGTTTGCTCCATTTGTGTACACATATTGGCTTCTGTTGCTGAGGTATGACTTTAGGTAATTGAGGGAGTGCCCTCTTATACCATAGTGTGACAATTTTATGTGGAGCAAATCATGGTCAACTGTATCGAAAGCTTTACGTAAGTCAATGAAGATCCCCAGTGGGACTTCTTTTTTCTCTAGTGCAGTGTATATTTGTTCTAGCATGTGCATAATAGCATCATTCGTAATTTTATTAGGCCTAAACCCAAACTGACAGGGGTTGAGTATGTTGTGGGAGATGAGGTATTATTATTATAATCAAGGGGGAAGCGCTAAACCCGGAGGATTATACAGCGCCTGGGGGGGGGGATGTGGAAGGCATTCAGGCTTAATTCGGGGAACTGGAGCACAGATCCAATTCCCTAAATCAAGAGCCCCTCACCAACATCAAGGAACCTTCCTTGAGGGGGGGAGATGAGGTAGGAATAGATTCGCTTATGAATTAATTTTTCGAAGATTTTAGAGAGAGGGTGTAAGTTGGATATTGGCCCATAGTTATTCAAGTCTGTTTGGTCTCCTCCTTTATGGATCGGGGTGACCCTCGCTATTTTGAGAACTGTAGGGAAGGCAGAGGATTCGATGGATTTGTCAGAGTGTTGCAGTGATTGGTGACAGCACTTGTGACGCTTTTTTGTATATAAAGGGTGGTAAGGTATTTAAATCTCCTGTCTTGTTTTTTAGTGTGTTGTTAATAAGGGAGACTTCTGTTGGGTTAGTCGGAGCTAGGAACAGTGTTCGAGTAGTTGCCAGTGAGGTAGTCATTGGGTGGGGTATTTGAGCTTGGGATTTTATTGGCAAGGTTTTTTCCTATGGTGGAGAAGAAATCACTGAGTCTGTTTGCTGTTTCAGTTGGTGGGAGTTGGGGTTCATATGGTTTTGTTAGTTCAATTGCGCTATTTCGTGATATCTTTTTGTTCCTAGAATTTCTGATAGGGTTTTCCAGGTCTTTTTTATATCACCTTTTAAGTTGGATAATCTGTTCTCATAATACAATTTTTTAGCCCTTATCAGGCTGGTTAGGATTGACGAGTAACGTTTTCTTGGTCTCTGGTTATGTGACCCATTCTGTACTGTTTTTCATATAGGTACTTTGTATTTATGGATTTGAGGATGCTGGGTGTTAGCCAGGGACTGTTCAGTCTCTTAGCTGTCATCTGTTTAGTTTTTTTAGGCCAGTGCTTGTTATAGAGGTATTGGGTCTTTTTTAGAAAATTATTAATACATTTGTCAATATCTGTATAGATTTCTAGCTCAGTGTGCCAGTCAATGTTTGTCATTGCTGTTGTGAAGTTATTAATGGCTGCCTCATTGTGAAGTCTGAAAGTGAATTTAGTAGTGTTTTGGGGTAATTTGCCTAGATTAGTTATGAGGGGAATGTATGAGAGTATAGTTTTACCAACACTCTTATATGGGTGTGAAGCATGGGTGATGAATGTTGCAGCGAGGAGAAGGCTGGAGGCAGTGGAGATGTCATGTCTGAGGGCAATGTGTGGTGTGAATATAATGCAGAGAATTCGTAGTTTGGAAGTTAGGAGGAGGTGCGGAATTACCAAAACTGTTGTCCAGAGGGCTGAGGAAGGGTTGTTGAGGTGGTTCGGACATGTAGAGAGAATGGAGCGAAACAGAGTGACTTCAAGAGTGTATCAGTCTGTAGTGGAAGGAAGGTGGGGTAGGGGTCGGCCTAGGAAAGGTTGGAGGGAGGGGGTAAAGGAGGTTTCGTGTGCGAGGGGCTTGGACTTCCAGCAGGCATGCGTGAGCGTGTTTGATAGGAGTGAATGGAGACAAATGGCTTTTAATACTTGACGTGCTGTTGGAGTGTGAGCAAAGTAACATTTATGAAGGGGTTCAGGGAAACCGGCAGGCCGGACTTGAGTCCTGGAGATGGGAAGTACAGTGCCTGCACTCTGAAGGAGGGGTGTTAATGTTGCAGTTTAAAAACTGTAGTGTAAAGTACCCTTCTGGCAAGACAGTGATGGAGTGAATGATGGTGAAAGTTTTTCTTTTTCGGGCCACCCTGCCTTGGTGGGAATCGGCCAGTGTGATAATAATAAAATAATAATAGTTATGAGGAAGGTAGGGTAGTGATTATGCCTGATTTTAAAGAGGATATGGTGTTGGTCCAGATGTGGTCTAGTAGGGAAACACCAGTCTCTGTAATTCTTGTAGGTTTTGTTACTGTTGGTAGCAACAAGCAGTTACTCAGTGTTTGTGAATTCATTAACGTGTGGGTCCTGGTCTTGCAGGAGATTTATATTGAAGTCACCTGAGAGTAGTAAGTGATCTTTATGTAAACACACATTGTAACCTTTGGAAAGTAATTAGATTCACTTATAATTAATAGAACTACTGTACAACTATGATAAATTTCTTTAGTGTTAAGTAGTCAGTAAGCCAATAAATTAAGTTGTCCATTATGCCTAGGCATAATAGAGGCTCTCTTTGCACTGCAACCCATTATTATAAATACATCTCAGTGTACTACTTGCAAAGGAATAAATAAATATTTATTTAAAGAACCTCCCTTGAAGGGGAAGTTCGCATCCTGAAATTTCCTTCGTATCCAGAAGCAAAAAATCGATCAAACAACAGTTTCGTATCCTGAAAAATTCGCATGGTGGGGCGTTCGTAAGCTGAGGTTCCACTGTATATTAAACAGAATTATTCTACTATAATTCTTGTCCTCGGTTCCCTTCTTTAAAAAATTATGCATGTTCTCTGTCCTTCTTTTATGCATATATTGAACACATAGTGAATAAACACACCAGCCACTCAAACTATACCCACAATGTCTAATATTTTTATCTTAATCCCATCTATCTCAATTGCTGCACCCTTATTCTACTCACTGCCTCAAGCACTTCATGCACCTTTTTCAAATCCATTAATGAAGCAAACAGCTCCTTTACCTTATTTAAGTACTGCTCGTGCATGTACTTCAGCATGAATTCTTAATCTATACATGTACTCTGTTCCTCTGCAATCATACTGTCTTTCCAATCCTTCTTTGAAAGCAAAAGCTTTCCTAGTGTGTAACACAACAGTTTATACATATTTTTAGAACTGGAGTTTGGATTTAGCATTTCTGCTATGCAGTAGTTAAGTTACTACATAAAATTGATAGAGGTTGGCATTTGCATTTTTCATTGACTTGTAATGGTATTTAAACATTACTATTAAAAATACAGTACAGGCATACCTCATTAATACAGCACTCACTTTAAAGTGCTTCACTAATATGGCACTTTTAATTATATTCAGGTTTATTATTTTCAGCACTTACCTCTTAAGATGATTTTTTATTATAACCCTTTGATTGTCGGTGTCGTATATATATGTCTTACGACCCAGTGTTTTTGATGTATTAATACACCAAAATTCTAGCAGCTTTAAATCAAACGGGAGAAAGCTGGAAGACCCACATGCGAGAGAATGGGTCTGTGTGGTCAGTGTATGCAGTTAAAAAAAAAATCCTGCAGCATGCAGCGCATAATGAGAAAAAAAAAACTGACAATGTTTTTTGGATTAAAACGCCGAATTTGAGGTATATTTTCGTATAGTATTTATGGTTGTATTCTTGTTTTCTTGGTCTCATTTGATAGAATGGAAGATATATTACAGAAATAGAGATGATTCTGATTGGTTTCACGAAGAAAAGACCTTAAAATTGAGCTCAAAGTAGTGGAAATGTTCAATTTTTGCCAATGTCCAAGAGTAAACAAATGATGTCACCATCCAATATATGTCCAACTGGCTGGTCTAATAAGCAGTCATGAATGGGTTGACATTATTTATACAATTATTACAATAATGTAGTAGTCTGCATAACAGTAAATCTTCTATTTTTTGTGTGAATAAAAATTAGAAATAGAAAGCAAGAGTAATACAAGGGGGGCCTGGAGACATGACTAATGAATAGAGAAAATGTTATTTTAGTGCCAGGAATGTCTGCATTGCTTATTCTGGACCCTATTTTGAAATTGGCATCTTTTTTAATTTGCATGAAATTGGACAAACTGCCTATTTCTGACCACTTTATTGGATAGTTGAAATCAGTAAATGGACAGTTTCTTGTACTCAATCGATAGAACAAATGGTGTTCTAAAGAAATAGCTATGAGTTTGGTCGACTGGAACAATGGAATTGGCTGAAAATGGGGCTCAAAGTGGGCAAAATTCCCGATGTGTGTATATCACCGAGATCACTAACTTTGCAAGAGAGTAATTCCATTAGTTTTCCATCAAATTTCATATTTTTGGTGTCATTACCATCAGGAAAAGATTATCATTTCATAAGATTTTTTTTTTTTTTAATATTTTGTGACACAGAGAGAGACTTCAGGATTTGGGGTCTTAGACAGTCAAAGAGTTAAAAAAATATTATTAATTTTACTTTTGCATCATTTTTTAGGCCTAGTGTTATAGTATACTTGATAAAAAATAGTGTAAACATGTTTTTGGACTTTTACATGAGCTGGCAAGTGAAAAAGAGACTGTGATTTGCTTTAAGGTGGTGGTCTGGAACCCTAACTTGACGTATTAGTGAGGTGCGTCTGTACATGGAAAATTGTTTTTAGGACTCACCTGACAGGCATCATGTCCACTCTCCCCTCCAGCACAGAAAGAGGAAGCTGGCAAGATGAAGATTTTCTCTGTTACAGCATTGATCTTCCTCACACACTCATTGTCTGACACTACTGGCACCTCTGCCTCGCGTACACGCAAGGGTATGGGCCCAGCTGCAAACAAAGATTATTTGCAAAAATCCATTAATAATCATAATAAAATAGTAATACAGTAAACAGTCATAAGTCATGAATACAGCTTGCATTTTCAATATTCTGTGATTTAAATTTAGATTTTCATTTGCAATACAAGCATACCAACTTTATTAATAGTACATGTGGGTCAGTGTATTTGTATGAGTGCCATATGATTTTCACTCAAGTTCTCATTGTTAGATTTTTCCTTCTTTTCATCAGCCCAGCTCATCTCTGGATATTTATTATGTCACCAAAACAAAGTGCAAAGTGTGCTGGTGAAGCAAGAAAGAAAATTAAGCATGGAACTGTGTCTGTTTTAAAAAAATCTGCAAGTAACTGAAATACCAAAGGGTGTTGCACGTGTCATGGAGAAGGTATGAGTGTTTGGCATGGGAGAATCAACAATACATTCGAGACAATGAGATGAATATAAAGGCTCATGCAATGATAATCCTTGATGTGATGCAGTAAAATGCGAGTAATAGGTCACTGCAGGTAAATGTGTGGACTGAAAAATAAATAAAGGTATTATAAGGAAAAAAGTCTTATACATGTACTGTACTATAAAACTTTGTGAGGAAGGAGGACAGACTAAAAATGAGTACACATTTAGAGCTGGATGGTTTAACTGGTTTAAAATACACAGTGAGCTGTATAAAGAATTGTAAGGTAAAACAAACCAGTGTTGTATGACAGAACACCTGAGCACCTCACTACAATAATCAACCGATGAAGCTGCATCAACATCCCATGATCTCCAACTTTCAACATCACATCAATCTCAACCCAGTAGGCCATAGTCACCTTCTCCACTCACTTTAGGATGTTCATTATAACCAATCGACTTAAAAGTAAGTAACAAATACTTTATAGTGTTATTGTAACCCTTTTTTAACTACACATGCTCCTTACTTTTGCTGTTTAAACTTCACTAGAGTTCAGGTATTTAACAGAGCATCTTCATCCACAAAATAAATAGAAAAACATTAGTTTTGAAGAGGTACAATAGTGCAAAACATTTTTTTTTTTTTTTTTTTTGACATCTGAAGAATGCAACCTTGTATTTTCTGTTTTGACTCCATAAGTCACAAGAACATAAGAAAGAAGGAACACTGCAGCAGGCCTACTGGCCCATGCAAGGCAAGTTCAAGTCTCCTACCGGCTTAAGCCAATGCCCCAACCTAGTCAGTTCAGGTCACATTCACTTAAGAAAGGAACATGGCAACTGACCTAGTAGCACAAGCTAATCAGGTCCAACTCACACCCACCCACACCCACTCATGTATTTATCTAACCTATTTTTAAAACTACTCAATGTTTTAGCCTCAATAACTGTACTCGGGAGTTTGTTCCACTCATCCACAACTCTATTACCAAACCAGTGCTTTCCTATATTCTACCTGAATCTGAATTTTTCCAACTTAAAACCATTGCTGCGAGTCCTGTCTTTTTTTTTTTTTTCAACAAGTGCAGGCATTGTACTTCCCATTTCCAGGACTCAAGTCTGACTATATGAAAATAACCGGTTTCCCTGAATCCCTTCACTAAATATTACCCTGCTCACACTCCAACAGATCGTCAGGTCCCAAGTATCATTCGTCTCCATTCACTCCTATCTAACACGCTCACGCACGCTTGCTGGAAGTCCAAGCCCCTCGCCCACAAAACCTCCTTTACCCCCTCTCTCCAACCCTTTCGAGGACGACCCCTACCCCTCCTTCCTTCCCCTATAGATTTACAGGTCTCCCTCAACATTCATGTTTTCAACTTTCACGGGCTTCACACATTCGCGAATTCCCAACCGCCAAATTCCCAGCCACCAAATTCCCAGCCGCCAAATCATATTTAAGTTTCCCGCCACCTGCGAGTCCCTACTACCCTCCCTCCGACCCCCGCAACTGGCAGCCAGCCCTCCCACCACTCAGTGTGGTGAGTGTTTTGTTTGTTCATTATTTGCTATTAAACTACAGCATAAATAATGTAAACCCATTCATGACTGCATATTGGAATGGCTATTCGGACAGGTATTGGAAGGTGACATCATGTGTTTACTCTTGAACACAGCAAAGAATCAAACATTTCTGCTACAGCTAATAATAACAATAGTAATAATAATAATAATAATAATAATAATAATAATAATAATAATAATAATAAATATAATATAATTGAAGAAGGAAATTGTACAAAAATACGAGGGAGTGGTTGACACATCGTCAGTGTGACTTTGTTTATGTTGGAGTGATCATTAGTCTCCCTGCTCTTCCAAACATTTCACAATAATTCATTGTGTTTGGTGCTTGTAGATTGAGTGTGACTGGAGTGGTAGAGGCAGTGATTGAGGCAATGGTATTTAATAACATACATGTTAATAATAATACATGTTATTAATAATATGTACTATTATTATTTATAACATGTATGTTATTAAATACATACATGTTAATAATAATACATGTTATTAATAATAACATGTACTATTATTATTTATAACATATATGTTATTAAATACCACTGCCTCAGCCGCTGAATTATTGTGAAATGTTTGGAAGAGCAGGGAGACTAATGTTCACTCCAGCATAAACAAAGTCACACCGACGATGTGTCAACCACTCCTTCGTATTTTTGTACAATTTCCTTCTTCGATTATATCGTATTTATTATTATTATTATTATTATTACTATTGTTATTATCAGCTGTAGCAGAAATGTTCAATTCTTTGCTGTGTTCAAGAGTAAACACATGATGTCACCGTCTAATACCTTTCCTAATAGCCATTCCAATATGCAGTCATGAATGGGTTTACATTATTTATTCTGTAGTTTAATAGCAAATAATGAACAAACAAAACACTCACCACACTGAGTGGTGGGAGGGCTGGCTGCCAGTTGTGGGGGTCGGAGGGAGGGTAGTAGGGACTCGCAGTGGTGGAGGCATTGGTGGAGTCTGGTATTTAATAACATACATGTTATTAACATACAAGTTATTAAATAACATACGTTATTAAAGCATAACATGTATATATTTAGTACAATTTACGACGTTTTCATGTATTTTATGATTATTCATGGTTCAACAAGTTAAGGAAGCAGTATTGTAATATATTTCCCTACAATATATTGGGGCACCAAACATTCACGGTTTTTCAACATTCGCGAGGCTCTTGATCCCCTAACCCTCGCGAATGTTGAGGGAGACCTATGCTTTCCATGTCATTCTACTTTGATCCATTCTCTCTAAATGACCAAACCACCTCAACAACCCCTCTTCTGCCCTCTGACTAATGCTTTTATTAACTCCACACCTTCTCCTAATTTCCACACTCCGATTTTCTGCATAATATTTACACCACACATTGGCCTTAGACAGGACATCTCCACTGCCTCCAACCGTCTCTTCGCTGCTGCATTTACCACCCAAGCTTCACATCCATATAAGAGTGTTGGTACCACTATACTTTCATACATTCCCTTCTTTGCCTCCATAGATAGCGTTTTTTTACTCCACATATACCTCAACGCACCACTCACCTTTTTTCCCTCATCAATTCTATGATTAACCTCATCCTTCATAAATCCATCCATCTTACTCTTAATTCTTTCAATAATAACTATACCATACACTTTTGCAGGTATACTCAACAGGCTTATTCCCCTAAAATTTTAAAATCTTTTGTCCCCTTTGCCTTTATACAAAGGAACTATGCATGCTCTCTGCCAATCCTTAGGAACCTTACCCTCTTCCATACATTTATTGAATAAGAGAATTAACCATTCCAAAACTATATCCCCACCTGCTTTTAACATTTCTGTCTTTATTCCATCAATCCCAGCTGCTTTACCTCCTTCCATTCTACCCACTGCCCAATGCACTTCCCCCACACTTACAACTGGCTCTTCTTCACTCCTACAAGATGTTATTTTTCCCTGCCCAATACATGAAATCACAGTTTCCCTATCTTCATCAACATTTAACAATTCCTCAAAATATTCCCTCAATCTTCCCAGTACCTTTAACTCTCCATCTAACAACTCTCATCTCCTATTTTTAACTGTCAAATCCATTTGCTCCCTAGGCTTTCTTAACCTATTAATTTCACTCCAAAATTTTTTATGTTCAACAAAATTTGTTGATAAGATCTCACCCATTCTCATTTGTTCTCTTTTTACATTCCTTCACCACTCTCTTAACCTCTCTTACTACTCACTTTACCTCATCATTCCATGAACTGCTCTTCTTCCCTCCTGCACCCACTTTCCTGTAACCACAAACTTCTGCTGAACACTAACACTACATTCTTGCACCTACCCCATACATCTTCAACCTCACTGCCTATACTCACGGAGTCAAATGCAATATTTGCAGCATTCACAGAGACCCCACATAAAGGATCACTATGACAACGAAATATTGATCCCAGGTTATAACCTGTTCAGATGCGACAGACTAAATAGGCAACAAACAGAGGTTGGGCTGTACGTCACAGAGTTGCTCATTTGCTTAGAATTACTAAACACCTCAAATGATGTAGTTGAAGTTTTGGCAGTAAGGATTGAAAACCAAAACCTTGTCATTGTGCTGGCATACAAGCCTCCAGATGCAACTTCCCAGCAATTCCAGGAGCAGCTTTTGAAAACTGACCACTGTCTGGAAAAATCTCCCAATTCCTGCCCCAAACATCTTACTAGGAGATTTCAACCTGAGACACCCCAGGTTGCAGCTCAGATGAAAATTCATGCATACATGAACTATTAATTTAATCTCTGCACCAAATTCACCTTAAACCAGCATATATTTGAGCCTACAAGACTAGAAAATACGCTGGACCTCATCTTCACTAACAACGACGATCTGATATGTAATATAACCGTATCAAAGACAATACACTCAGATCACAACATAATAGAGGTAGAGACATGTATGCACAGGGCTCCTGACCAGCAAAATGTGATCAGTCTTGAAGGTCTCTTCACAA